TACTGAGCTACATTCAGTATGGTGTCATGTGAAATGTTACAGAGCTACATTCAGTATTGTGTCATGTGAAATGTTACAGAGCTACATTCAGTATGGTGTCATGTGAAATGCACAGTACATTCAGTGTGACGACACATAAAATGCAGAGCTTCGCTCAGTGTGGTGTCACATGAAATGCACAGAGCTACATTCAGTATGGTACTACATGAAATGTACAGAGCTACATTCAGTATGGTGTCACATGAAATTCACAGAGCTACATTCAGTATGGTGTCACATGAAATTCACAGAGCTACACTCAGTATGGTACCATATGAAATGTACAGAGCTACATTCAGTATGGTACCACATGAAATGTACGAGCTACATTCAGTATTGTGCCACATGAAATGTACTGAGCTACATTCAGTATGGTGTCATGTGAAATGTTACAGAGCTACATTCAGTATGGTGTCATGTGAAATGTACAGAGCTACATTCAGTATGGTGTCACATGAAATTCACAGAGCTACACTCAGTATGGTACCATATGAAATGTACAGAGCTACATTCAGTGTGATGACACATAAAATGCAGAGCTTCGTCAGTGTGGTGTCACATGAAATGCACAGAGCTACATTCAGTATGGTACCACATGAAATGTACTGAGCTACATTCAGTATGGTGTCATGTGAAGTGTTACAGAGCTACATTCAGTATTGTGCCACATGAAATGTACTGAGCTACATTCAGTATGGTGTCATGTGAAATGTACAGTACATTCAGTGTACAACACATAAAATGCAGAGCTTCGCTCAGTGTGGTGTCACATGAAATTATGCAGAGCTACATTGTACATTCAGTATGGTACTACATGAAATGTACAGAGCTACATTCAGTATGGTACCATATGAAAGGTACAGAGCTACATTCAGTATGGTACCACATGAAATGTACAGAGCTACATTCAGTGTGATGACACATAAAATGCAGAGCTACATTCAGTATGGTGTCACATGAAATGCACAGAGCTACATTCAGTATGGTACCACATGAAATGTACAGAGCTACATTCAGTATTATGCCACATGAAATGTACTGAGCTACATTCAGTACGGTGTCATGTGAAATGTTACAGAGCTACATTCAGTATTGTGCCACATGAAATGTACTGAGCTACATTCAGTATGGTGTCATG